CCTTTTTGTAGTGAAAGACAATAATAATGATAATAATGATAAAAAAACAATGATAATAAATAATGAATGAGTAAACAGTGTGTTTGTTTGTTTCATAAAGTGTTGATTTTTTAAAAATTATTGGCGGAAAGTAATAAAGGAATAATTTCATGTGCCAGACGACATTTGCGTTTCACTACTTCTAGAATATGTCAATTTAAATTGATAATTCTATACTAATGGAAGCTGATTAACTCTGAAATATCTACGATGGTATTAGAAGTGATAAATGATGGAGATGCTGATGCCATTAGAAGAGATATGTGATATGATCAGTGTTTACGTGATTCTACACTTAGCAATAACATTGTATGATAATATTTAATTTGTTACTAAAATAACGATGAAAAGGAATATTTGAAATTCTAAAATACCTATCAACCGCTTACCAAGCATTATCATATCGGCTAATCAATGTTTCATCGCCAATGTCCAATGGCATCGATGAAGGATGATGTGTTTGACGATGCGATTCAGTTCGCACGAACACAGCCATAGCTAATTAGTTGAGTCTAAAAATTATATTTTAACAGTATTTTTAACTTTTTAATTTTTTCAATAACATTGATTAGCTATTCATGATAATCATTGCATGTATGGTAACTTTGTTGTTACAGGCTATAAAATTTGCAAGATTCCAAGCTTACGAAAATTAAAAGGAACATTGTTTTCAACATGAGTATATGAAAAAAAAACGTTTAAAATATCTGAAAATCTAAGCTGAAGGAAACAAGAAATATTTGGTTATTTATGTGCAAAATTTATTTATTTTTTCCTCCAAGCAGAATCTCATAAATTGTAAATGTTTCAAATTATTAATTGAATTGATTTTAAAACCTATTAATTGAAAAATATCTTTGTGATAAATTTTTTAGAATTTATTCATCACTAAAAATATTATTTAATGAAAATACTAAAAAATACGGATGAATCACTCAATTAATAATGATTTCAATGATTGCAGTCAAATTTAATAAATTAGAGTTCCTCTAGCATAAAGCTGGAATTTTTTTTTGCAAAAATTAATTCAATATTCAATTGAAATCACTCAATCGATTCCTTGGGTATATATGTATATATATATATATTTACAAAAAGATTTAAAAATCAATTTACTTTAATTATAAGTAAAATCCATTTAATTATAAATATCAATTCATTTTAATTGCAAGTAAGATTTATTTAGTTATAAATAGGATTGCAACATGTTAAGATTATATTACCTTTGAATTTCTTGATGATACACAATGCAAAAGCTATTTTTGATCGTTCTAATTCATAACACTTCATCAATCCTTCAAATAACATTTTCAAATTTTGTAAAATTAAAAAATAAAAATTGGAAAAGTTTAATGCTTCCTGAATGAATTGAAAAGAAAAGATATGGATTAGAAAAAGAATTAGCGAAATATGAAACTGCTTCAAGAAATTGAAGAGCGTTAAAAGAAAAGCCTACCTCATTCGTGATGTTTGAAAACTTTGAATGCTTCAGATACGAAACGATTTATAAGCTTTCAGCAGTGATTGATTCATCCTGGAATAGAAGTACGTCGATATGTTAAATCTGAAAAATATTTAAAAACTTTGGACTTTCTGACAATTAAAAGAAAGCAAAAACACACATACACACACATACACACACACACACACACACANACACACACACACACACACACACACACACACATACATACGCACACACACACGAAATTTGTTCAAACAAACCAAAAATATTCTTTTTAAATTTTTAAAACAAAACAGTGCTCGTTGTGATGATAAATTAAAAATCATTTAACAAATTTTTCTTGTTCATCATTTTTTTTCTGTTGTTAAATCTGTTATTTCCACCTACTTTTTTTTGCAAATCATTGATTGGTGTATATTTTTTAAATGGTATTAATTTATAGGTAGAAATGAAGTGAAAAAAAAAGAACAAAAAGAGAAAAAATTTGACATTCTTAAAAATACAAGCAAATAAAACTTCAATACGAAGTTTGAAAAGATTAAGTATTGAAGAATATTTCGTTGACAGCAATAATTTATGGTTAAATAATGCGTTTTTTTTTTCTTTTTCCATTTGCTTTCATACTCTTCCACTTATTTTTTTTTTATTCGTTCTTTTTTTGTCTTTGTTAACAACAGAATTTGAAGAAATGGATTGTTAAGACTTCGAAACATTCTTTTTTTTTTTTAATTGCTTTTCGTGTAATGTAATTTTTCTGGAGAGGTTTGACGGAAAAATTAAACTACAGGTGGTCATTTTGTTATAGGAATAATATATGTCGTGCTATTTAATGCTAGCTTACTGAGACAGGTAAAGCAAGAAAATATTATGATCAGCTAATTATAGAAAAAATTTTGAAAAATTAAAGTATAGATGATCATCTTGTTATATTAGAGGAACAATATTCTCGTGCTATTCTACGCTACCTTATTGAGGTAGGTAAAATAGGAAAAAATTGTGATCAGCTAATTACAAATTATCTTGCTAATTGCGAAAACCGAGATAATATAATTAGCTGATCAGATCAAGAAAAAAAATCGAAACATTGATATTACTATGCATTAATTAAATTTAAATCATTTCTCGTTGGATAGAGCTATTGAAAATGTGTTGCACTAAGTTTTCTCGGCCAATTATGATCCTTCTACTTTAAGATACGTCTAATTTTAATTTCAGATATATTGAATTCTAATTTGCCATGTAACAAACAATAATACCTCTGCTATTAATTCATATGAGAAAGATATTGTATTCGAAAGTATTTTCAAAATAATTAAAATACAAATTCTAGTTACATTACAATATTTTTTAATTGAGAATTCAAAATTTACTTGATTAAAAAAAAAAAGGAAAGAAAAACAAAATAGATTTCAAAATAACTGATTTTAATTTCATAAACAAAACTAGAAGAAGAAGATTGATCAGATTGATCAACGATTCTATAACACACAATCAAGCAATACCCAAATTAATATCTCAAAAGTAATGAGTAAAGAAAAAATTTTTTTCTACTCGACTAAATTTTAATTCATTAAATTTCGATAAAATTACTTTTAATCTTAGATATTATTCATTTCAATAATTTTACCAATAGTATTTATTAGTAAAAGTAATAATACAAAATGCAAACCAATCCATTCAATTCGATGATACATTCATAGCGGTTAAAGAGGTGGAAGAATGGAGAAAAGCTAATTGACAGCTGACCAAATCATCAAAACGTAAGGAGTAGTAAGTTTGATTAGTACTAGAACGCTGATTTCAAATGAACATTGCTTCTTTACACAAAACTCTAAAATCTGCCTCTTTAAATTATCCTCTCCTCATTGTGCTCCTTTAATTTACTGTCTTAATAATTAACCTATCATAAATTTTCCTGATTAACATAGCCATATCATAACATTTTCATCGACTATCTTCCTATTCAGTTAGATGCTATCATAAGCATTCTCAAAAATTTAAATTTTAAAGTCATGCATGCCAACGGATGGATGTATTCGATGAATTAAATTATATTTCAAAGTTATAATTAGTAATATAGTAGTAGTAGTTCTTAAGAATTTTCGACAAGTTAAATTTTGTAGTGTTACATAAAACTCCAATATCTTTCTACGTTTAAAAATCTCAATTGTTTCTTTTTGTCTTTTTAAATTGAAACAGCTAAGTTAGTTGATAAATATTTTCGATAATTTTTCCATTTGAATAGTAATTTGTGAAGCAATGATAAAATGCTATTAGCTTGAATGTTTTATCAGAATTAATCATTCCGCAGTTTTATTTCTAAATGTATTATCATTTTTGTGGTTGACATTTATGTTGCATTTGTATTTGTAACGTTCTTTATACTCATACAGTAAAACTTCATTAATCGTTTTCAAATAAATTTACTTTGTTAAAATAATATCGAGAAGTTAACAATAGCAATACTTTAATATCAAGCATTCAAGAAATGCTAAAATACCGATGAAAGATAAAGGACCTTCTACTCGAATATGCTAATGATGTATCTTTCGAGCTGTTATACATCTAATAGTTTGTATTGGAATATTGAAAGGAACTAACTTTTATATATGCCATAATAATAATTATATCAAATGAATGATCAAAATGACTCAAAAAAGTTCAACATGATTTAAAATGACATTCCTCCCATTTCACATAAAAAAATTGTGATTTCAAAATAATCTGAAAGCAAACTTCCATTTCTTTTATTTTTTACAATATTTTGTTTTGCAAAGGTGCTCTGCCAGAAAACGGAATTTCTTAAGAATTTTTGACAAGTTAAATAGTTTATCTTTTGTAAGGTTTTAACTGGATTTTTTTTTTCACTTAAATATAATACTAGATGATAATAACCATATCAGAGAATTAAGACAACAGGAGCTAGAAAGAAGCTAAATATGGAAAAAGGAAGAAGCGTCTTAAGGAATAAAGTAATGCTAAATTATTGTTATATCATGTTTAAATTTACTATAATGTTTTGAAATCTCGCGTATTTTAAATATTTTCAAAACTTCTTGCATTAGCAATACAGTTAGACTTTTAATCATTAATTATCGACTGTAACAAACCATATTAATTGGCAGCTATATGAAATAAAGACAAAAACCTGAAAAAAGAGAAAAAAAAACAAGTTCCTGAAAACATGACAAGCTCCTTAGATAAGATGCAAAAAAACAGAAAGACTTGTTGTTGCAAATTCTAGCACAAATCTAATCCTCAAAACAGATAGATAGTAAAATTTAATTGCAAATAAAACCAAGTAATACGGAAAGCTCACTTGTTTACTCAAACTTTAGATACGCTTTAAAATAATATTTTCAGCTTCTTATTAGAATCGAGATTAAAGTTCACTTTACACTTCTTACATCGAATGATAGCGTCGCCAGTTAACTGAAACTTGTGCTGCTGTTGCCACCGAATGATGTGCGCATACTGTAATAACGAGATGTATCGTTGAATAGGGTTTTTTTACTCGAATTAAGTGTTGAATTAGATGTTCGAATACGGGCAATATGCTTAGTAATAGCTCCTTGTTCACGTCCTATTGTTTCATCTTTAGAACTGACAGTGTTTATTGAATCAGCACTATCTGTAGAAAAATTTAGCAAGATTTGTTGTTTTGATTGACGTATTCCAGTCGTTACAGCGTTATTCGCCATAGTAAGTCGATCTTGATTTTCTAAAAAAAAGTAAACATTTTCAGTTTTTTTAACCTGTCTTTTATTCAATAAAAATTATTTCTATTAACTAACAAGGGCATGCTAATATTTATAATTTACTAGCCATTCGTCACAATTAAAAAATCTGTCCAATCATTCGAAGAAAAGACACCCTCCTGGTGATAAAGAAACTGCAAGTGTAATTTGTTTCTTACATGAGTCTCTCAAAATGATTTATCAACTCTGAGCTATCCATGTTTTGGATGTTCATAATCAATCAACTCACGGTGGAACAAGAAAATGATAAAGCATAAAAAGGCAATTTCGCGAGATATCAGATCTCCATACAAAAATTTAAGGACGAAAAGAAACAAAATTTTAATATCGTAAAAAAAAACGCACCATTATCAGGTTTCGTCAAAAGTGGAGTGCTGGCTACTAATGAAGTACTGCAAAAATGTTGAACAGGGCTACTACTTTCATCAAAATGATCATTAGCTACTCGTCCTTTTCTTCCTTTACTGCTTAAACTCTTGCTACTGTTAGTGCTGACAGTTTCGGTAACATTTCGTTGACTCAAATTTCTTTCTTGAGAATTTGCATAAGATTTCGAATTCTCTGACAAATTAGCTAACACTGAGATTCCGCCGTTCGCATGTCTCTGTTTCAATGAAGAATTCTTTCTGCGTTTAGATATTGGAGTATGTTGAAAATGATTTAAAAGAGTTCTCTCAAAATTAGACGAAATGCTAATACCATTCTTTTGATACTGTTTACTTAACCGACCCTGCTCATTAGTTTTTTCATGATGAAAATGCAACATTCCATCATTCTCATTTGATTCACTTTTGCTAGCAATTTTACTACTATCCTTAGCTGGTCCTGGAAGTTTATGAGGATCAGCTAGATAAATGCAAGCATCGGATACTTTTTCTGCATTAGCAAAATCAAGTTGTAACACTTCTAACTGACGACAAATTTCTGAAATAAACGAGAGAATTTTGAGTAAACTCAATAAAAAAAGAGAAACTTTTCTGATTGCACATACTTAGAAAATTATTCAAACAGTTAAGAAATTATATAACGATATTTCATTATACAAAGTTAAAAATAGTATTATATAAAATTGAAAAGCATCATCCTAAAATGTAAAATATTATATTGCTAAATTATGCAAATAGAAATAGATCAGACAAACATATAAGAAAATATAAGTTAATTTAAAACTTTGAATAATAAACAAAACATATATATTGCAAAGATACAAACACAAATTTCTCAAGTAATGCAACTCCTCTCATTTTGAGAGTAAATGATAATTTGCAGCTCATTATGATTCAACTAATCAAAAACCTACCATCAAAATTTCTCGTTTCTTCTTTTGAACTATCAAAATTGAAGGTAAAACGAATTAGCTTGAAGAAGCCATGGAGTAAAGCTGAAAGCATTTTTGCAATGATAGATGATTTGTATATCTTCTAACAATGTCTTTTGGGAAACGTCGATTACAAAAGATACTATCACACCTGGAAATCAAAAAAAAAAACGTAATTTTTCTTTTATATTTGATTTTTGAATGATTCACAACGACAAATGAAAGTAACATAGCGTAACAGCCTTACTTCATATGTTAAACATGAGGATGAGAATAAGGAAGAAGGTGCAGAAAGATGCCTAAATGATAGATAGTCATCCAAACAGAGCTCACCAACCAGAAAACAGAAGAGAACAATCAACGTAGATCAAAGGACATTCCTAAAACTTGGAAATAATTTTTCTTTCAAAAAAATAACTTCGCGCTGTTTGCGTAAACTTCAAGCATTCAAAGGACATGAGAAGTCGAACTTTTTGAGGATGATGTTTTTGATGACAAAAAGATGATGAGGAGGGTTTGCAGAGTGAAATTTAGGTTTTTCAAACTAATTTCTCGACCTTCTATGCAGAATTAGCTCATTCAATATATCATCATGGACTACTAAGCATTCATGTGCAATCATTGCTTATTATCAATCTGAAAAGTGATAGTGAAAGTCCATCTCATCATACATTGCTGGTTTTGGAAACGTATGAGTGGTTAAATAGCAAAATTTTATTTGAAATTGCAAAACATCATTACAGCTCATACAAATGTTATTCCGCCATTTGAGGTTCCAGAAAAATGATTTTTGTTTGCAATTTTATCATAAATCAAGGCATTTCAGCACCACTGAATAATTTCATAACCTTTGCTCCATATAATAAGATTACTGTTTGGGAGCTAAACTTGCACAGTTTCGTGAACTTTTATTTATTTAACAAGATGTTAATGTTCACTAACCAGAATCATAAAACAAGTGTTAAAAGACAAAAATTTTTAAGAAATTTATTAACAAACCACAAGAAATAAAGAAAATTTTTATCAGTTTCACATCTTTTCGACAGCTTTCAATCCCAATATCTTAAAGCAGTCAGCCATTATAGCAGCTGTCACCTTGCACAACACTAACCGCTGATAATGAATCGTTGTTTTTCCTTAAAGAAATTAGTTGAATTGACATCTATGTAATGGACATATTACAAATTAGCTGCTCTTCAGACTTTTTTTCTCATAAATCGTTCTTAAGCTAATTGTATTTTTTTTTAAATATTGCAAATCCATAACAAAGCACATATATTAACACAGTGATAAATTGATCACAACAAGAAGTAGGATAAAAAATTGAATCGTCAACTTTATGGTGATTTTTTTTTAATTTAACAAATCAATTGATTTAAATATCTCCTGATTCTAGAGTTTTTTATGAGTTAGAACCGTGTAATATCAGCTGTATTACATGTTATGTGAAATAGTATAGCTAATGGAAGCAAAAAAAGGACATACCATCAAGATCTTTCTGAATTACGTAACATTCATTGTAAAAATCGTGGAATACTGTTGCCAAAGAATAAACATAATCGCAAAGCTGAAAAATTCAAATAGTTAAGTTATGAAGTCAAACAAACAAAAAAGTCCATAAAAAAGATCTCAAATTTGGTTTCTTGACATGTCCAAATGATATGAAATAAATGAGAAACTAAAAGATATGCCATTTCTTTTACTAGCAAAAAAACTCACTTGATGTAAAAGAAAATTATCCAAGGTATTCAAAATGCAATCAGTAAATTTAAGGATTGTTTTTGCTAATTTAAATTCCGATTTATGTTCCAACGGAAGAACTCCATTAGGTAAACTGCTCAAGTAGTTTCGAATATCTTCCTCAGAAACTTCAGTGTTGCGACATATTGATCTAGAAAATCAAGTAGACAACAGAGACGAAAAAAAAATACAGATTTTAGTTCACTTGAAACCACTCTGAAAAATTAATGTTTTAACCAAAATAAACAAGTTTAAAGCAGGCAGGAAAAAGTGTTTTCTCTAAATAGTGAAATCAAAATGAAGTGAAAATGAAATGAAAAATAAATTTACTTTATTCTAGCAAAGGCATAGAGAAGATAAACAGCGGTATTGCCTCGGTCATCCAACATCTACAATAGGATTATTTTTTATTACCGATCTTTAAACACTTTTATATGACCGCGCGGATATCATTAATAAGATATAAAAACTTTAAAATTTTAAATTTCCATGAATAGATTGTACCCGATCAAACGAGAAAACATAATCCTGCGTACGAGTCTGCGACAAATCAGCATATTTTACACAACCATATGCGACAGCATCGCGGGCTAATGCCAACTCTTCCGAAATCATAACCTACAAGGAATATAATGACCGCAAACTTAAAAAGTACTCCTTTCCAGGATGAAAAAAATACCGATATTGAGAATGCGATAAATTTAGTACCCATAAAATAAAAATTTTAAAACTGACAAACCTTATCTCGTTGTTTTTCTTGTAATTTTATTTCTGCTCGCTTCACACCCTCATCAAGTAAATCTGTTAAGCGAACTGTATCACCCGACCGCGTTTTAAACTTTTTTCTGGAATCAAATAATCAAGTTTAAATTTCTAAAACATTCATTCTTTATTCGAATGCCCAAATAATTGAGCATCTGCTATATGATTTGGAGTATAACTCTATAACTGAACTAAATTCGAAATAATTGCTCTTTTGTTTCAACAAACGAATGAAAGCATCTTCAGACGAACAACATTTGTCCATAACATTTAAACTGTAGACGACCGCTGTTCATAAAAAAAATTATTTGGAATTCAAAATCTTCAAACTTACTTGTCCTCTCCTAGAACTAGACCAAAACTGACAAGTTCGACTCGTTTCTCAGTCGGTGAATACCATCCAAGTTTCTGACCGGCAGCATATATTAGCTAAAAATTGGCAATAAAAAATAATTTTTTTCAAGATGTTAGATGACCGAAGCAATACTGTTATTTATCCTCTCTATGCCTTTGTTAGAATAAAATAATAAATTTCCAATAATTAACCAATGAAATACGCAATTAAATGAGCTTAAAAATTACTAAAATCTGTAGAATTAAAAGTAAAAACTGAAACTGTTATAATATTAACTTCAAAATGCAGACTCTGTCCAGCATCGACAACGTAAATGATCCAGTCCGCTTTATCAACAAATAAGCGATATTTCAAAGCTGCCAAATCAGATGTATCGTATGTGAAACCACCATCTGATTTAACGACAGTGAGTGGCACTTTTTCACCAAATCTTAAAATCTTTCGCCCTTCATCGAGCTCCAAAACACCTGAAATAATTTAGTGATTAAATTAGGAATTAAAAATTCATGCCTAGAAATATTAGTGTTGTAATACATAAAATATTTTGTTAACGGTTAGTTTTCTATTTGACTTTCTTTACAAATCTTTTAACTATTGAACAACAATATCTATTATAGAAATAGAAGTGCTTGTTCGAAACTTAGAGGGATTACCCAATTTATCGAGTTCTTCAACGAGCTCAATCATATGCTTTTGGTAGAATGATTCGCCTCGTTCAACAATAGTTATATCCAATCGATCGTAAATTTGACTGAAATCTTTCCGAGAAACATCACAAATCATTTGCCATGCCTTCACAAAATCTGGATCAAAATTTTGTAGCTTAGTAACGCATTGATAAGCGCGGGCTTTAAATGCTTCATCTTCGTCAAAACGCTTCTTTGATTCCTAAAATACACTTAAAATGCAATCAACTCCAAAAATGAGTGACATGAAAAATTCACAACATTTAAGTTAAGGATCCCTGAAACTTCGGAATATCAAAATTTTTAACCTTATAGAAAGCCTGCAGATCCGCAATTGGCGGTACTTCATTGATGAAGTTTGGAAAACAGTCTTGCAAATGAGCAATTAGCATGCCAAACTGTGTACCCCAATCGCCAATGTGATTCAAACGAAGAACCTTTAAAATATTGCAGTTTTAATGTAGAAAAATGCTCAAATTTTAACAGCTAAGTCAAAATTTAGATCAACCCAGATAGATTTTTAATTTTTGTCACAAAATCGTAATATTGATTCAATTCATTCAATCACTTATTCCTTCAATTGTGATCACTGGATTTCTACATCGGTTAGACAAATTACAAAATGAATAACAAAGTTTTAGACAAAATATAAGATTTGCAATTGAAAACAAAGGAAAAAAATGTTAACTAACATCGAAACCAACATAACAGAGCAAACGACAAATACTGTCGCCTATAATTGTGGATCTCAAATGACCCACGTGCATCTGTTTGGCGATATTCGGAGATGAAAAATCAACCACAACACGACGTTTTTCAATTACTGGAATTTCAATACCCTGCAAAAATTTTTGAACAAACCCATATTTCAATTCACATTTCATATTTACTAAACAGACATTTCCTAAATAATAATAAATACCTTTAAAGCAATATTTGCAATGCTTGCGGCAATCCAGCTCCTATTCAAAAATATGTTGATGTAACCGGGTCCAGCAACTTCCATCTAGAAATGATATAAATAGAGACTAATAAACTTCAAATGAATTCACAATTATCAATTTTCATACCTTCTCAATCCGATCACACTTTGGCAGGTTGTCCATGATTTTTTGTGCAACTTCCTGAGGAGAAATCTTCTGACCATTTTGTTCTAACTTCTGGAACAAATTGTTAGAAAGTATTATAGAACTAAACATTTTAATAATAATTTAAAAAAAAAAAACAACTGCGCAGAAGCACTAAAAACCTTAGCAATGGACATTGATGAATTGAATTGATAGTCACCAAATTTAACTTGCTGAGTTTCTGTTATCAAAATAGGAATAGTAGACATTTCCGCATATAGCTGAAATTTATTTCATGTATTTTTTATGAGGGAAACATAATATAAGAACATCCTTATTTATATGTAAAACAGATTGATCTACAGCTACCCTCAAATCTTAAAAAAAACAAAAATTAGGATGTTCGTGAAGCTTACCTTGGAAACGCTTTCTAAAAATAAGGCGCGTAACATGTATAGCAACGAACTTCCAAAATCCTTCACAATAACATAATTGCATTTTTTTGTTTCCTTGGAAGGTTTTCTGCATATAAATTTTGTGGATAACTTTGATCAGTAAAATATGATGACAATGTGAAGCACAGAGGAAAGAAACAAATGTGCTGATTTGCATAGCGAAATAAAATTTCTGCTTATGTGGCAAATGATTCTGATTTCTAGATTTATTACAACGAAACCTTTATAAAATTTGAAAAAAACAGATGAGTTACTTATTTTCGATCGGTTTCTCACCACCGTCTTTTGAAGACTTTTTCATTTTCGATTTCTTCTCAACAGGTGCTTCAGTACCGCTATCTTTAATACCGTTTTTCTCATTTAATTGTTCTTGTTCACGTATGCTCTAAAATTAGCATAATTCATTTATAGTCTAAAATATCATCACTACATATGAATTCTACAGTTGTTCCTCAAAATTCAATTCATTTAATTCGGATTAGGTTTATACAGAAATTAATGATGAACTCTGGCCCTTTCAATCAATAAGCTTAATGTACCTTAAAACAAAAAATTTCCGGCGGGTAAAAAAATAATTTTCCTCTTCCACAATACAGAGTTTAAAACAATATTTTTACCAACTTCCTGAAGGATCTGCATCCTGTACTTCAACTTAGTATTCTCCATTACAGCTTTTGACAAGTTAGGACAATGTTCCAGCACAGCATCAGTCATATTCCCTTCTTCCATGGCTTCTAGCAAATTTTGATATGTTACAAGTTTCTCCTTCTAAACTAAATATTAAATAATTCCTTTAATGAAACATTATGAAGAATTAAAATCCCACATTCTTCAGCGCTATCAATACTTTATGTCTTTTTCTTAATTCCTCACAATCATCAAATGAATGACAAAACCCAAATCCAGTCTTTTTTTCAACAACAAATTAATTTGATCGATAGTTTACTATAAATTCTTAGTACTGATTATCATTCAGAAATGGAGATTTTATCTGGATTCTAAACTACTTGTATTGCTATTTAGCAAATAAGAATATCGTTCTCTAAAAATTATAACGAATCAGAATTAAAAAGCTTCTTTACAATTAACAAAGTGATCTATAATAGACTGGCTTCCCAACGAATCATTAAATGGCTATATTTCGATCATTCATTTATTTTGCCCATTCATTACCGCTGAATTATAGGTAGAAATGAGGATAGAACAGAAATGGAATTCACCGATTCTTCAAGATGCTGCCTGAGTTGTTGCAACTCGCTATCACAGGAAATACCACTCATCGATTCTGGTTTCATCACTGCAACAACACCTTATGCATCCTGAAAAATCATTTAGTACAAAACTTTAAATATTCCCTAAAAGACACAATCCAAGGTTACTGTGAGATTTTTGGATTTCGAAACATTTCTATCTTGTCTCTATCCAAACAAATACCATTAAGTCTCTTCTGAGAGCAACGGAAATTCCACATCAAAGACAAAGTATATAAATGAAAAATTTCCAATTCCTTCGATCATGAACAGTTCTTCAGTCATATAAACACAACTCAAAGGAATGAAGATAAATATAGTATTATCATGTACTGGACTGTCAAAGGATATGATGCCTTTAATATCATATATTTTTCGCCAAAAGACTCTTGTAACAAATACTGTCAAAATAACAAAAATCACTGAATAACAAAAGCGACATAATATGGATTGCAAAGTAATATGTACAAAACAAATATGGTAATAACATATTGAAAACATTAAGGAACAAATTTCCAAAAAATGTAAGTCCAGAGTTTTTTTTTTTTTAAAATCAAATCTCGACAAACTCTAATCTTAAATCTTTCCATACGATCGGCTTTCTTTACTATTCATTATTAATAGTTTTAAAAAATGATACCTGATGTTTCATCAAATGACAGAATTTTCTTGCTGCGACAGTATATTTTTTAATAGTGCAAAGGATACATAAATATAAATCAATTTACAAATCTAATCTCAAAAGCTTTCGTTAAAAATCTAAAACCAGTTCGTAAAAAAAAAAACTAATATAAACTAAAACACAACTTTTTTCATCAATAAATAAATGCCAGAATCAAGTTCGAAACCGTGCAAATTATTCGCATCACCTTTTAACCGCATCAAAAGACCACCAAATGATGCATACGCTGCTAAGGTATTTGTTTCGGAACTCGATTCTTCTCCTTCAATTCGATATACTTTCCCAAACATTACATACTCGAATGGATCCAATCGCGGATAATGTGTCTGAAAATTTCCACATAATGAACGCATTTTCGCCAAAATATCAAAGTAACAAACAATTGAGTTATTCATAAGATACTTCTACCATTATGTTAATTAATTTATTTCTAATTAATTCGTAAAAAATATGGCAACAAACATCTACATATTAATGTAAAAAATGTCCTGATAGAAGTGATGATGAAAGATGCATACAGACATTTGTTGAATATCGTTCCGACAAAAGATTCATGATGTCATTTGCTCAACTCTTTCATGCATCAGCAATGTCAACAGAATATCATAAAACGAGCTAAATTTTAAAATTAAACTGAGCTAGTCTTCGAGTGAATAGTACAAATGAAATTTATCACCTGATTATCAAATTCTCGTTCATCTGGTAGACCATCATCACGTAGCGTTGTTGCTAGCAACAATCGAAATTTATCGTTTAGATTCATTGGATATCTGCAAAAATCATTCAGCTTGTTATGAATCTTTCCATCTTGCCTTCTTCTTTTTTTTATTTTATTTTACTTTATTTTACTTTTTTACTTTATTTTATTCTTCAACTTCTTCCATATTCTGAGCTACAAACAAAGAAGATAATCTTACAGTTGTGTGTTAACATCAAGGATGAGTTCCATTTTAAAAGATTCACTATCGCAGAACAAACGTGAAACACGATCAAATTTCTTCCCTTCCGGATCAACATCTTTCACAAGAAACATATCATCGAACAGTATACCTGTAGCCATCCTCTATAATGATGCATACAATTATCAAGTGGAGTAAATGAACAGCATTATGGATTACTTTCAAGTAGAATAGATGAAATAACTTTTTACGTTGAAGTCAATACTTGACATAAATTTTAGACAATTACCAAATTTTCAATTTAAATGAAGGAATATTATTGATAACTGATCCGTGAAAATACACAATTAACCGCTGCAGCAAATTTGAGCAACACTTCACAGACATGTCCGTGTATGATCACGTCTAACGTAATTCAATCAAAATCTGACCTGACCTCAACCCACTAATTATGATGAATAATCGCAAAATGTTCTTTATCGGTTGGCTCTGAACGAATATGCGAGAAAAAAACACATTATTAGAGAGTGTTTAAAACAGTGTGGACGGGAGATTGGGGAAGAAAAAAAATTACGCAATAAATTGCAATAGAATGGGAAACAGTAAATTTAGTAAGGTTAGAGACGCAGGTAAGTAAGTGGTTGATTTGAAATTACGGATGAAACGGTGATTGTATTGAAACAATTCGTGATACGTCGTTTTGTCTTTTACGTGATAGAAGAGGCTTTAATAGTGAAAATTATCAGTTAAGCTTTAAATTGATATATTAAGTTTTTAACTAATTTTTTTTATTTATCAAATTTAATTTATATGTTAGTATAA